GGTGGTAGTGGTGGTAGTGGTGCTGGTGGTGGTGGTGCTGGTGGTGGTGGTGCTGGTGGTGGTGGTGGTGGTGCTGGTGGTACAGCTTGAGCAAGGCTATTGGTGTCCTACCTCAAAGGCTACCTTTAAAGCTGATGTTGATAATATGATGCTGTCAAAAGCTGCAAAACCAACAGCAATGGAATGATCCATTTCAGAAGGGGCAAACGGTTGTGGGCGGAGTACTGGGTCAGCCATGTGTTGATTGGATTAAGGATATAGCACCCCAAATGCTTGCAGGAGTGGCCTTTGTCCCACTACCATTGTGGATTGAGTATGATTGAGTGACAGTTGGCAACATTGACCTCCTTGGCCAGGCAAAGGCCGACAAACATAAACTGCTAGTTTCGCAGAAAACGAATTCCTTTGCAGGCCAGGCAGGGAGCCTGTATTGCTTCTCCTGCGTGACGCCCAACACCTACGAAGTAGGGATGGTAGCCGCCATGGCGTGCCTTGGAGCCAAGAATGGGTCTGCTGGTTTTCCTGGCCGGAAGCAACAGTTCGGGGAGTGTTTTAGGCCAAACGGTTGTTGCAATGTTTCGTGTGAAGCCATGCAATCGGCCCCAGCACGAGCATGCTCCCAGATGCTCTTCAGCCGAATCCAAGTCCTTCAGAACAAGTCGTTCAATTTTATTCCGGTGCGCTGCTGTGATGAGCAAGCCTATGTGTCTGAAATCTCCCCATATGTCTCTCTGTCTGTGCCAAGGAAGCTGAAAGTGGGCATGTTTGAATGCCACGGCTTCGACATCATCAGCAGCCCGTTGCGCGTTTCATGCGATGGCTTCAGCTGGTGACTTCTGACATGGGCTTGAAGCATGGAGCCACACAGTGTTTCTGGAACTTGAACGTGAGGCAATACCACGGCCGACGAATTGTTCAAGGACTTTCCGGATGTTGTCGCGATGCTCAAGGACACCTGGCCGCCCGGGCGAGTGACAATGTCCAACAGTGTCCAGGGTCCCAAGCTTGGGTTGATGAAATGGCTCGGCCTTGTTGTCAGAAAGCACAACCGACACAAAGCTGTGTATCGAAGAGGCAGACAGTCCTGGCGACAAGGACAAAGTGCATGTTATACACCAGGATCTCTATGCACCTGGGATGCATTCCCTGCGTTTGTTCTCTTGTATTTGGCTTGGTAACGCGAGGTCTAGATGTCGACTGCTCGCAGCTCTTCCCTGCAGCTATCCTTTGACCAATTGCAGCAAAAGGAGTTATGGCTTCATCAACACCCACCAATGGGAGTGGTCCACATCATTGCTCGTCAAGCTGAGGGCGGTTATTGTTGTTGACACTGGATCACCGCGGGTTAATCCAGTTAGGGTTGCGCGAGCCCACTTTCCACGCTTACGCCCGAACGCCTCAACTGGAACATCCCTGTATCCTACCCTACATTTTTGAACATTTGTTCAACAATCTCCATGTTTGACATCCCTACCCTGCCCATTTTAACCAACAGTAGACCTCAAATTTCCGAAATCTGAATTCCAAATCAACTTTCCGAACTGCCCCCCAACTCCATAGCTGGTTCGTGCTGTTGGGAACTGCAACAAGCAATTCTAACAAGCAAGCTCTGATCGTGCTGGAATGCAACAATGGCGGACAAGCACGAGTCTTCGTGAAGTTGTGCTTCAGCCTCCGAAATGAAATGGCAGCATGTACTCTTTGAACAATAACCATTGATGTCCGGAATTTCCGTCGAGTGTGTCCATGGCTGTTCCATCCGAGGTGAAGATGGTCAGAGGCCCGATAGGCCCCGTTCACACCGAAGGATGCTAACCTTCAACAGTGTAGACTCTTAGACAGGCTGTCGGATGCAACGTCATTGCTTGCTGGCCGTCTTGATTGAGAAAGCTCGGCAGAGATCAGCGCGCAAGCTCGAGGGGAACCGAGGAGAATAGCCGAGCCAGCACGTGCTTGAGAGGGACGAGCCTGCTTGCAGATGCACAAACAATGGAAGCCAATTGGCCGGGACAAGCAACGACAAGACGTGCAAGACTGGCTCGTCTGCAAGGGTCTGGAAGCAGATTCACGCAGTAGGACATCCAGAGTCGAGTCTAGAGAGCTAAGAAAAACCAGTTAGGGCGGGGTCGGCCTCCTGCAATCCTAGTGTGACACTCTGCTCCAATAGGAAAATCGGAGAAGCTATGAGGCCATACGCAAGGAAGAACATCGTCCACACCTGTCCGAAATTATGCTGATCCGAGTCTGGAAAGTGGGCCTTGCAGTGTTCTTCAAGCGATGATGTGGCGCAACTGACGGGTCCTGCAGGCCACGATGCCTCGTCACCTTCGACAGATCCCAGTTCGCCGCTCTACAAAGGGAGGCAGCAGATCCTTGGCATCTTCCTGCGTCCCGCCCATGTCAAAAACACAAGCTCCACATACCGAAGTATCTTGACACGTTTGCGTGGTTTTCTCAGGATTATGAAGCATCTTGTCAACGCCCCTGTCTTCGTGGATGTGCGGCCCTCGAAGTCAGCAATCTCACACATCGTGGTACAGTACTACCAGACTGAATGGCACAGGCGGGTTTCCATGTTTGCGCAGAAACTTACGTGATGAGCTTTTCCAAGGTCCGTGCGTTTTTCAGATGATATAGACTATATAGGCTTTGGCTGGGGTGCGGACCCGATGTTTCTCGTATTGGGTTTTGGCTCACGACCGAGGTGTGGAAGAAGATCTTCGAGATCAACAACTTCGAGACTTGCCTGCTTGGGCAAAATCGCCGAGACTACAAGATGCTGGAAATTAGGTCACACCGCAGTCCTCTTCACATCCTCATTTGCCATTCATGGTCCGGAGACCCTTCCCGAGGCACACTACGACTACACGTGCAAGCTGGATGTGGATGTCAGTTGTCTTGATTCAAGTTTGAAAAGGTCAGGGACCCGAAAATGGACCCCAAATAGTAAGATCCTCCAAAACAAAGCCCGCCAAGGGCACAAGAAGATTCACCAGAAGCCTTGCCCTAAAGAAGTCTTCCCTTTCCGTCGGGCAGGGTGCCGGTTTGGCAGTGAAAAAACAGTCAAAAACGTTCGGATTGGCACAACAGGAGACGACCAAGGTGCTTAGAAGAGCTGTAGCTGGCACTGCAGCCGGACCTACTCGCATGAGACCACTACTTTACAGGATTCTTTTGCAAAGGTCCTGGAGAGCTAATGCACAGTTAAACCCATCTAATTGTGGAGGTAGATGTCCCCCTCACCGAAGGTCGCAAACATAGTGTATGCCAGTGCATGGGTACATGTTCTGAAGCAAAGGCAGTCATCGTTCCAAAGCGATTATCTGGCTTGCTCTCCAGTCGGCCAGTTGCCCCGGAATATTTTTTGACACTTGGCGAATTCTCTTGGCTTGGGCGTTGGGAGAAGGCTCCGGCTCTGGCTCAGCCTTGAGGCAGTGAATGGGCTCGGAGGCAGTCCGATCGCCTGCGCCAAGCATGATGCAGCTCATTCCAACACTCCAGTGCTTGTGGTTGCTTTTACCTCTTGGAGGTGGAGTCGTATCATACCACCGGATAAACCTGCAGCCCTGACATGCACGTCTGGTTCGGCAATCGTTGGCACAAGTGCTTGACAAAGCATTGCTTGCTGCGTCTTGCACACTGCACTGCTGGAAGCATCAGAGATTGCTTGGGACTCCAAGGAACTCGATGCACGACATGTGCCCTGCCTCAACGGTTCAAAGGAAAAAACGGGCAGGTGACCCCAGGGTCAACACAGGTTACTTGTACCAGACTTTGCATGCAACTTCTCCGCTTAAGACGGTTGGTTATGACCTGTGAGATCAACCTCAGGAACGTACCGCCACTGGTGAACTCACCATCCCTACATGTTTTATGGCAAAGCTTGTTATACAGTTTAACGAGGCAAGGTTTATGACCTGTAGAATGCCTGATTCTTCGTCCTACCAAATGCCGAGTTATTTGATGGCAAAAGTCATAAGTAGTGGTTTGCGATGGCCACCCTTCGGCAGCTCTGAGGTATGGCAATTTCCTGCACGGGCCAGTGGAGTTGATCTCAAAACTGGGAATGAAGCTCTGCACAAGAGCCTGGAGGGTCCTTCAACGCCCGTTTCGCGTACTCCATAACAGGAAAGGGCGTAGGGTTAAGCGAGAATTCTGTGTTTGGCGTGGGCGGACGTCTTGTGGGAACATCTCCTGTCTCAACCGGTTAGCAGTTGGTTGCGGAAACCAAGGCTGATGAGTAGAGTAAATCTTCTGTGTTGAAGACATGTAGCTTCTTCTCGGCTTTAGTCTGAGTAGGATACGGATTGTCGTTATGTCGCTGTGTCAAGAGTTTCGAATTTGTTTTCAATGTTTTGGTTGGAGAGGTCGGGGAAGAAGAAGATGAGGGCGCACAGCAAAAGACAGTGGGAGAGAAAGAACGAGCGTTGATTTTACACACAAGGTGGACCCCCCGAAATAGCCACCATGGAGCCCCACAACAGAAACGGTACTCAGTGTTGTTTATGTTGAAAAGGGAGACTAGTCAGCCAACTGTAGAGAACTTCAGGGGGATATCTGCTGTCGAGGGACCAAGGATAGGCCGCAGAGGGCGCGGTGATGAGGCCGGGATACGGGCTAAAGTACAGGGTCAGGGTTGGGTCCACGACAACAGAACATTTTTCCAACCGCGGGGGGAAACACTCCGCCCACTGGCCCCAAAGCCTTTGCCCTCATAGTCCAACGAGGGCGGGGTGTGCCTAACAGCAAGGGTCTGCCAGTCAGACCTGCGCACGAAGCAAGGAACGAGGAAGGAAGGAAGGAAGGAAGGAAGGAAGGAAGAACGAGTAAGAAAGGAAGAAAGAAAGACAGAAAGAGAGAAAGTACGATGGAAGTACGGGAAGAAAGCAAGATAGAGTAATCGCAAGACATACAGACAGACAGAAAAGCACGGAATGCAACTCACACCATAATCCATTTACTATCCTTGCCAAGACGAATAACCATGCTACGTAGTGCCTATGTGCCTACGCATATTTTGTCAGCTACACCAAGCACTCTAAACAGAAGCCATTATAGGAAGTCTTGCCTACTATCCTTTTACTTCTATGCAACACATACACGCACCATCCAAACAGGAATAAGCTTAAGAAAAACTGCCGACAATCCGTTTACTATTACACTACACCAAGCAAACCAAACACAAATAATCGTGCTAAGCATCGCCTAGAACCCTTCACCCTTCACTATTACATTAAACCGTCCAGACACAACCAAATCATCTTGCTAAATGCTGCCCGTAAATCCTGTTAACCCGCACCATGCAAGCACGGATAGTCATACTAAGTTACTAAGTATTGCATGTATTTTCTACTGTCGCGCCACACATTCGACATTGGTTGCCATCACATTCAAGACTCTCAAGTAGCCTCACCATCACATGAACCTGCATCACTACCTCAAAATGCAGTTGATTGCATGTGAACTTCGGTCTAAGTCATGGAAACCGTCATCAGACTGCAGCATGAAAGCCGAATATCATGTTTCATCATGTCTCGTCTTACCGTTGCACCAGATGCGATATCATGCTGAAACATAAATACTCTTTGCAATACCAGCACCTTCAATCAGGCCCAGTTGTAAGGACATGCGAGTCCAGGTGGCAGAATAATTTTTTAGCCTGTCATTCAGGTGCCGCGCGAATATCTGATAGATTTTCTATGCATGTTTCACAGCGGATACTTGTTTATATACTGTTTGAGCACCACTCAAATGAGATCCTTGTAATTAGTGTTTAGTTTATGTAGGTACGGTCTTAGGCTTCGCATACTCTGTCAACTACCCGTAGCTCTGAACTCTAACTCCTGGAAAGGGAAGGTAGCTTGGGTTTTCGGGGCTGGCCAGACGCCTTAGGTTTGGCATGCAGGATTGGGTGCTTTGCTGGAAAGCGCTGGAGTTTAGCTATCTTGTCTAGACACCCCGTTCGAAAGTCCATTCGTTAGTTTCAACAAAAACCCTGATTTCGACATACAGAAACCCCGAACATTGAACTACTTGTTTGACGGACTCTTACAGAAGATGCCCCTAGCTGGAAGAAACGGGAAGCAAAGGGATTCTTTTGAGACTATTTCGACTTTACAGGGTTTCCGAAGCCTGTAGACCAAAAACTAGACAGGCAAAGTGGCAAACAGACATTACAAATAAACCCAGGCAGAGGAGGACGAAAGTCACGAACATCAGCTGTTCTGTCGTAATTAGTGCAAACACGAAAATGTCTATCCAGTTTGCAACACAGTCTTGGGGAGTTGTTCGCAGAAGACATCTAGCTCCTGGAAAGGTTTGAAAAGTCATTTACGTGAACACAAGTTGGCAAAAAGAAGTCGAACATGATATGTGCTGCTTGGAAAGCCAACTGTGCGGATTCCATACTCTCCTATGCCTATTTGGGTGTATGGAATGGGTTGATGCTGTGTCGATTCTCAAGTGTTGGTAGCTCGTCGTTCTACCGCTCCTCATGCTGGCTGTGCTGTGCAGTCGAGGCCCAGAACCGTTCCGTTTCGTAGGTAAACAGCACATTCGGATTGTTGTCTGCTCTGCAGGCATCAGCGATATTGTATTTTATCGCTTTGCGAGATGTCATGACGACACTGTTGCTGTAGCCCTCTTGTTTTCAAGCTTTCTACTGATTACAAGAATCGGCCTGTGTTTGCATTGAGTTTTACCTTTTCTCTCTGGATTGGACATGAAGATAGGTAGCTAGGTAGGTAGATAGATAGAAAGATAGAGAGCTATGGGTAATGACAGAGGTAGTCAGAATCAGACAGGTAAAGCTAGAGATTAGCAAAGACAAGTAGACCGATAAGTATGACAGATAAGATAGACAGAGAGATAGACTAGATAGATCGGTAGACAGATAGATACAGAGGTGCCATTGATCGATAGATTAGTAACAAGATAGATAAATAGAAGATAGACAGATCGACTGACAGAGAGATGTACTGACAGACTGATAAACGGATAGATATAGGTCAACAGCTAGGTAGGTAGACAGATACATGCACAGATATGTTTATACTTGTACATATTTATATATACAAATACTCTCAGAGGCAGATAGGTCGATCGATAGCCCGATAAATCGATATATCGACGCTAGATACAGACAATTTACAGATAGATGCAGATAGAGATAGGTAGATGCAAATATGCAGATACAGAAAGATATAGGTAGGTCTAGTTAAATACAGGTAGATATAGATAGAGTGTTCACAAACATGTAAAGTAAGATGGAGGTAGGTATAAGTGACGATGGAAACAGATAGCAGGAGACTGAGGTATGTAGGTAGATAGCTAGATGGACAGGAGTTCAAAAGATGTCGTGTATGCTTGCATCAAGCTTTAATGGATGCTGTGACGGCCATTTTGGCTCTAGTCACAGAAAATTTCAGTTGAGATAGTTTGCCACAGACCCAGCCATGTCTGACGAGCTCAGTTGGGTCGAGCAGGTGCAGGCCATGGAACAGTCACTGATTGACGTGATCAGTCAGGATGGCGACTTGGTGGTGGAGGCACTGAGTAATATTCCTCCTGCAGCCCGTGGCAGACTTCAGACAATGATTATCTTAGCCGAGGAGGTGGTTGTCCAGGCAGCGCATGGCAGACAGTTGGTGATCGACACAGGTCTGGGTACAGCCTCCTGGTATGTTGATCCAGACGTTGATGCCGACCCTCAGCCGGAGCAGTCGGACCCAGCAGCCTCTTCCAGTACAGTGGTGCAGTCTTGGGCCGATGTCACAGACCCTACAGCCTTGGTCGCCCAGCCGCTTCGCTTGCAGGGACAGTCAGCCGCAGCAGCCATTGCTCAGGACCAGACGCCGCAGCCCCTGACGACTGAGGTTGCAGTGGTTGCTCAGGCAGCCCCCACTCAGCAGCCAGATGCAGCTCAGGCCGCCACAGCTCAGGTTGCAGACACAACGCAGGGGACTCAGACAGCTACAGACGCAAGCCTAGGCTTGACCCAGCCCCTTGGACCGCTCAGCAAGGCCAAGACGAAAGGTGGTGCGCCAGCCAAGACGCCGCCAGTCAAGGCCATGCCCACCCAGGTCGCGCAGACTCAGGTTCATCCTGGTCAGCCGGCAGCCAAGGCCCCTACAGTCCTGACCCCGCCCCCAGACTTGCCGCAGTTGCCCGCTCAGACGCAGCAGCAGCCTCAGATGTCACAGCCCACCCCAGATCCCCCCATGGCAGGCTCTTTTCCGCCTGCCCCGGGCCAGCCAGGCACCAGAAGAGTTCAGCCAGTCACAGGTCAGTTGCGGCAGCCGGCCCCAGACTTAACACAGCCGCAGCAGCTCACTCAGCCGTTCACAGTCGATGCCCGTTGCCTGAGTGCCTTTCCCAACGACCTCGTTGGATACCTCAGTGGTATTTATTATGCACGGGTCTCAGCCGTGGGGGCGCATGGTTTCCTGCCCCCGACAGTCCCTTACAGCCGGGCTTTTGCCCCTCTGGCAGCCAATCGAGACGCGCGGCTCCCAGCCAGTCTCAGACAACACGGCCATGAGTTGGCAGGGTTCTGCCTTTCACTCTGCCCTCGCTGCCAGATGCAGTCTTGCTCCAGGGCGTTGACGCTGACCAAGCCAGGAGGCGCTTGGCACACTCACCACGAGTGTCCTCGCTGCCACGTCCCAGGCCGGGCCCTCAGTGTGCTTCAGACTGTGTTAGTTTGTTTGTTGGCAGGCTCCAACCGCAGACGCTGACAGCCTTCTCTAAGCCTGTTCAGGTAGGGCCCTTGAGGCCCCTCACGTTTGCCCGTGTCCTGGCTTTGATGTCGCCAGGATCTTCGGCAACCTCAGACTGAGCTTTCTGTTGCTTTTGTGCAGCCTGTTCTCAGCTTAGGTTTTGTCTAGTCAGTCTGCCTAGCCACTGGTCCAGCCGTTGCAGTCACTACCGCAGCCTTTGTACACGCTTGTTGGCCCACGCAATTAGTCTAGCAACCTTTTTGACCAGTGGTAGCCGCGGCTGACACGGAATAGCCGCATACAGGACGGCGAACAGCTTGGCTTTCAGCCGAAAATCAGCCTTGAGGATGC